ATTACTATATTTTACTAGAAGTTTCGACAACCTTTCGTGCAGCGGTTAACTTTTGCTAAATTCGGTCAAAGGGCTTTCAAAGTGTAGGAGTTTGAGCTTTCTGTATGTAGTAATAACCTGCTAGGAATTTCTTTGTGTTAGTTTCTATTAATCAGAGATTTAGCACATTTTAAAAATGCTATGCAGTATTATAAATACTTTGATTTTCGCATCAATCATTAGTTTGTCGCAAATAACATTGTAAGGTTTCACGCTGGAAATTTCAGCTGAAACAAATGCGTTGCTGTTTATAAGCATTAAGAGCTAGGTGCGATTTCTTTGGTAAAAATGTTTATAGCCATGTTATTAACACAATGCTTTTAGAAAATAAGATTGAGTTGTCTTGCATTTGCTGAGATTTGAGGCTATCGATTGTTTAGTGTGTAAACTCTTAACAATTTATATTGCCTCGTAAGCGGCAATATAAATGTTTAGAAATAATTCAAATTTAGATACTAGTACCAAATAGGAGAGAAATTTTTCTTTTCTGTTACATCATGAACAGAAAACGTTAAAGTATCAATGAAGCTACACGTAAAAGTATACATTTTTCTAACATGTAATTTGAATCTAATTTTTCATCTAAAATTAGAAACGGTACTTTCTTATTATCCGCCCAGGTCTCCCGCAAAGTCGCCAAGCACTGGAGACTAGCTTTTTAGCCAAACTAACACATGGAAAAAAGAGTAGCCATTTCAAGAAATAGTGGCAAGCTGAAAATTACTTAAAACAGCAACGAATTAAATTGAAAACTCAAACATCCATAATAAAATAACTTTTCCCGGTCTTCTACTCATGCGGCACAGCGCTTTGTTTTAGCTCAGGAAAACAGAATTTCAGAATTCTCGGCATTGCAAATTATCACTGCTCTCCATGTTCAAACTGACCTGTTTTAAACTAGAAAGCATCAGAATTGCGCAGATTCATGAAAAGTACATTCATATACTCTAGGAAACACGTCATATTTCTGCAGTACCTTTCCTTCATTAGCAAACAAACTGAGCAATTGCATTACGATCCGTTAGAAGGAAAAAAAATACTCCTAATAACATTCAGAAACCACAAGTATGACCCCTCTAATTTCAGGACTGCGCGCGTTATCACCAGCACCGAGATGCCCTGGCGTAATGGGGAGGGGAGAAATCGTGTGTGGGTTGCCAGATAAATACATTTTAATTAAAATTCTGGGTTGTGTGCTTTGACTACATAAGCACTTTGCCTGATGTTTCCTGTCAGGGTTGGGCGGATAATCCGATAGTACCACGGAACAATGGTAGTTAGACCTGTGTTCAGGTGTTGGACATGGAATTTTTCCTGCATTCCATAATCTAGATAGTCAGATGCATTAATGACAGAATGTATATGCCTCTTAAACACTGGTAGATCGAACTTTGTTAAAATTCCGGCTGCATGGATTGCTCAGCGATTTCCGTTTCCTTGTGTAAAGTGAATATGAACTAGTCCCCTCCCCCATAAAATTCCTCCACGAAGCTTTTCTTTAATCATTTTCTATCAAATCTGAAAGGGAGGGGAACTAATATTAATCGCAACTGATTTTAAAGAAAGCAAATGAAATATTTTATATCGAATTCTGTTTCTATCTAAGCTTAAAAGAATTTCACAAAAGTACAATCTTGTGGATCATATGTTGCCGGTGTCCTCATTTCAAATACAAGCTCTCCATTCCCTATTTGAAAATAGATTAGATCTTTTAAGACTAAATTTTTAAGATTGCTGGATGTAGACAGGATGTACCGCGAAAAGAGAGTAGCTTTATGAACTCTAATTTCTTTTGGCATTTAAAAGAATGCATAAAATTAACCGTTTACTGTTTTCTAGATAAATTTCTTTATCCCATTTGATGAAATACCATATTTGAATAGTTTTGATAATTAAATGAAAGTTCTTAGTTTATAACCTAACAGTAGAGCATGTTGCTAATTAAGATTCATCTTAAAGGCCGTAGTAGTTAGCGCGGCCAAAGGGTTTCAGTTTTTGTATTATGTAATGATTCACAATCGCTAAGATTTAGCTACTGAAATCCAAGTAGTATTACATTACTGGACGAACAATAAAACGGGATTAAGGCCACAAATTTTTACACTACTGCATTTTCTTTTGTAAATTGAACTGTGGAACTGCATTTTTAAACTACTAGGAATCAAATACCCCATAACAGCTTAAGGTCAAACCATACTTTAATAATAAACAAATTCAGAGATAATGTGTATGAATTTGTTTTTAAGTATAAAGTCTTAAAAAAGCTACATAAAATATTTTAATTTAATTTTTTTAATTAATTTATTCTCTGGTGAGTTTCAAAGTATTCCTCCTAGTTTAATGAACTTAATTTTATTTCAGTTTCACACTTATTTATTTGTTATTTAGTTGTTCATTTATTCACTTTAAGCCACACCTCTACTTAGTATTTTCTTACGCTAGTTCAAACTTAACTTTCAGTAGAAATATTTCTCTTGAATAATTATTGTTGAGCATATAATAAATATGTAATTAAAGTCACAATTTAAAGCTGCAACATCATTTTTGTGTCTGACAATAAGTAGTTTTTTGCGTTTTGCTCTAAATACTTCACCCCCTAATGGCGCCACTACTAAAGCCAGAAGCGGTGGTTACTTTATTCTGGAGGCACCTAAAGGTGGGCCACCTTTTGTCTCCTATGAAGGGACGAACAAATGCAACCATGCCTTCTTCGGCATTCGAAGCCGGACCCTTTGGTATCGCATTCGGCTTCCCTAATCACTACACTATCTAGATGGCTTGCTCTATACATAACGATATACATATATTTATTATGAATTGATGAACTTTTAGTTTCTAGTCATGTAACTACAAACTATTTGATTACCAACATTATATATTAGTGCCTTGAAGATTTATTTAGTATTTCGCTTACTATGAAAGTTTTCGTATACTATTGAAGGCATCTATAGATGACTTCCTTAACTATCTTTCACAAATGTAGTTTAAAATTCGTATCAGACCAAAGCCTGAATGAGGTATGCATTGAATTATGTTTACAAAGAGAATTGGTAGACAATGCACAATCTTTAAAGTAAATATTACATAGTATTAAATAACTTTCATTTTGTCACGTTTTGTATTTTAAAAATAGTCACTTGAACATGACCTTTGCTCATAAACTCCATTCGTATTAAAATGCACCAGAATTTGTAAAGGTACATTGTAATTATCCGCATCCAGTATTTCAATATTCGGTAGAGCTGCCGTTTTGGCGTATTTTGGAATGTACTCAAGACAGCAAATCTATGCATTCGCTGCTTTAGTACACGTAGAGTTACTTCTAATATTCAAGTCATTTCCCTGACCAGTGTCTCCGGGTATTTTTTTTATGATAAACTGTAGTGGGACTGCTGGATTTACCGGCTGACGAGATAAGATAGCTTTAGATTTTGTAAAAGTAGTGTTTTGCTCAATAATAAGAGAAAGCGGAAGCTAGAGTTCTGTGAAGTTGTACTTCCTAAACGACAGAGTTTTGTGAAAATGCAAAGTTAAAATTTGCAAGCAGAATGTTAGAAATGGGTCAGGAGCTCGTTTAAAAATAGCCGTACTCCTTTAATAGATTGTTTTACAGTTGGGAAAAAGAAAGTATGCTAGTGAAGTTCTGTGAGGAATGGTAATTGTAGTTAAGACAGTCAAACATATTTTGGGCTAATTTCGAGGGATACAGATAAATCAGATAGCTCTCGTGTGGTTTGCTATGTTCAAAAAGCAATCTGCTTAAGAGAGTTGTCTTCATGGAAGACTTTCTAAAGAAAACTTTCTTAAAGAAAACTGGTTCGTATTCACGTTACACATCGGAAAAACCAACCATGCAGTCAGCCCTTTCGCCTGGAATCAAGCCCGGGTCGAACTCAGTTTCCGGATGAATCTAAAAGTAGAAATGTAAATTTCAGCATATGCAGACTATAGGAGTAATATTAAAAGAAACGTAGTAGCATATTGCTAACTGGACAAACTAGACTGGGAGTGACAAACTAGAATTGTAGTCTTAAATCGTTTTAAACACACATATGAAAATTTAGAAAAATTACTAGAGAATTTCAAACTCTAATTATGCTGTTCCAGAGGATGCTCAGAATGAAGGAAACATATTAAGGAAATTCTTGAGGAACATAAGCACACTTGTGAATCAGTGAATTATTGAACACATGTCTACGAATCTACCTAGCTATAGTAGCATCTAATACCGAATAAGTACCGAGAAGCGCATTCAAAATTTGGTTCTTAGGGAATCTACAGAGGTCAAGATGAAATTGATAAAAGCATCTTCTAGAACACGCATTTCAGTGCGGTTACTTTGGATGAGTACTGAAGGTATGACGTGCAGACGAAACCAAATTATAGATCTGAATGTTGTGAGCAGTATAACAGCAGCACACTTATCTATTGAGACTCGTCCTCTGACTCTTGAATCGCTACTTATACTCTAACCTTCCGAAGAGCATTTGCTGCAAAAAAAATTTGTGATTGAGGCTTCGAAATTCCTTCGCTAAAGCATTTCCTCACTTCAGCAGATGGTCTTAATCAACTAACTATTGTAATTGAAGTCATCTCACCAGCTGAATTGTAGCCAGCTTTCAGCAATCTAAGGAACATATGTGACAATAGACGAATGGCTGTCAAAATCTCTTGAAAAGTATTTTCTTTTATTCTTTTGAAGTGTATCCCATAGAATATTATCCGGAGTATTTTTATTTGTTTCTTCATGCGCAAATAAGGACATAATTAACTTAAATTTAGCATGCAGCTTGCTCAATTATTTTTAATGGTGTTTCATGATTGCAAAGTAATGTTACGAAAAATCCATTTCTTTAATTTTTCAAATATGTTGTAAATGTTTCCTATGTACGCTTTTTATGCTTCACTTCGTTTGCCCATTCATATATTACTCGATAATTTTCCAGTTTTTATTATTTCAGTGATTCTCATTAAATTTGGAAGTGGAATTCATCCTGAAACTATAAATGAATTGGAAAGAGCTGAAAATATTCATAAACACAACTTTCGGAATCGTAAGCTACTGAACTATTTGTCCCAAAATAATAGAGAACACGCGACAGAAACAATAACTGTAGATGAAAAAAATGTTAAAGAAATTTCCTCAGATTCACCAGAAAACACTTTGAACTCGGTTTCGACAAAGAGACATGAAGACAAAGTATCTTCTGAAAGAGAATATTTGCAATGGAAATTAAACCTGAATGTTTCAAAGATTGGGATACCAGACAAAAGACAACCAAATGAAGGTATTTACCACTCAGAAGTGAAACCTGAGAGGTATTTAGGAATGTCTATGTATCTGGAGGGCAAAAGCTCTAAGGAAACTGACGAATTACACAACACATGGGGATCGGTTGGAAACTTTCTTAAATCCCTTTTCGGCAATGATATCGATGCATTAGTGGATAATAACCAGAAGGTTGATTTTAATATCCAGACTACAAAAAATACTGATACAGATATTCAAACACAAATTAATTCTCCAACTAAAATTAACGTACAAGCTCTTAATGACACCAAGATAGTGGCTTCATCTTCTCAGTTCCCAATTGAAGAACATTCCGTAGCAAATGAAGAGCTTCATACAGTAAGAGGCAAAGAAGGAAAGTTCCTTCTTGAGCTCTTTGGACTTGGAGGTTCACAGACGTCAAGTTCTTTAACGGAATTAGAAAAAACCTTAGATATTTCTGATGATAAAAATCAAATTGATACTAATGTATCTACAAAAAATACTTTAAATTCATTTGAAACTGTGACAGAAAGCGAAGAAATGAAGGTTTCAGATTCAATCACATCAGACCCACATAAGACGAGATCATTTAACAGTATAACCAAAAGTTCTGAATTTTTCGAATCATCCCCATTTTCTGAACAAAGCACAGGAAGCCCAAGCAAAGAAGCACTTGATTTATTATCCAGCGATATAGGTTTTATGACAAAACATGCTGTCTTCACAAATGCAACAGAAATAACAGAAACAAATACAGCAAAGACTATAAAACCTTTACTTGATAAAATTTCGGAATTTGTCGATTCGAGAAAAATTGAAGATATTACCGAGACTAATGCAGATTTCTTTCTATCCAGTTTCTCAAATTCATCAAATATTTCGCCAAGTGTATCTGATAGTGCAGAAACAATACTACCGGGATTAATTATGTTCAGCGATTTGAATGGTACATTGACTGAATTTGCAACATCACAGCCAGTATTTAACCGTAATTCCTTGCATTTGGACCAAAACTTGGAAACGTTTGAAAATTGTTCCGCATGCGAATTTTTAGGTGTAGATAAAAGTGGTATTGATACCCTTTCTCAAAATGAACCTTCCTCTACAGCTACTGCAGTTTCGAGATCCGAAAAGTATGATGCTTTAGGAAGCACATTCACTACAGCAGAGCTGGAAATGTATTGTGTAGATTTGATAACTAGAATAGAAAACAAATCAAAATTGAGGAATATACTTAGGGCTAGAAAATCTAGTCTTGAAGAAAATATAATTTTCGAAGAGGAAGCAGCATTTCAGGAAAAAGCCTCTTCGAGTCCTTCAGTAGCACCTTCTGATGAGCCTACTAACTTCTTCATTAATCTTCTCATTGCCATTGCTGGTAGAAATAAACCAACCCAAACTAAGACTTCAGCCAAACCAGAGGAGGTAGCGACAGATTCAGCATCCACAAGTGAAAGCGAAAATTCTAGATTTTTCAATTTCAATAATTTGTTTGGAGGACTTGGCAGTGGTAGATCAATTAACGAAGACCTTGAAGAAAATATGTTTACTGATACTGATATTAAGCTGCCGAGTTTCGTTCAAGAAAATAAAAATGCACCTTCATTATCAGACTGCGGAAATTTTTTCAAAGAAAAGCGAAATCAAGGAGTGTTTCCAAAGCCTAATCTTATAGATATTATGGCCCATCCTAATCTGCAATCAGAATATATATCTACTACAATAATTTCAGGGATTCAAGAGCAGCAAGCAGATTTTGTGATTGATTTTTTAGAAACAAATATGAGAGATATTGTGGCTAAGCCGTTGGCACTCGGGGAAGCGAGTTCTGATGCCTCATTCAATTTTGACAGCAAAGATGATACGAAAAATACTTTCGAACAAATATTTAAAGAACTAAATTCAAGGCAAGAAACAACCACTGACGACTTGGTTCTTTTACTTCGAAGTGAAAATGAATTTTCTCTTAAAAACCCGACAAAAAACGTTTCAGAATTCTTTATTGAAACTAGCACGGAAAAAATCATTGGAGATAAAGATACAATTAATAATCAAACTCAGGAAAGAATATTTAACATTTTTTTTGGTAGTGGAGATTCTCGTAATTTAATTTCGGGAAATATAGATGAAAGGGATAAAACGACAGTTACGGAAGAAGCTAAAACTGCATTTTCAGTTCCTGCAAGAAGTGAAATTCCAGTTGGAAAGGAAGCATCTACAGTTACGTCAAACTTGCATACTGAGGATAAGGAGGATTTAAAAGATGTTGACACCTTTAAAACAAAAGATGCCTTTATGAGTTCTAAGCACACTAGTACTGAAATTTTCGGAACCAATGTTTTAAATGAAGAACGCGTATCCGTGAATAGTTCATTCAACCTTGGCACCGCAATCAATGAAGTTACGGCCACAGTTGGTAATTTATTTTTAAAAACAAAAGAACCCAATGAAATATTGGATGATTTACTTGGGTTTAGAACTGCCGACGTGGAATTAGATTTGAATTCAACTAATCCTGAAATTTCGGATCCTAGAATTTTTGGGCTTTTAAATTTATTTGGCAGCGGAGATGGAAGAGAACTTCCTGAAACGGAGAGAAGTAAAAAAATTTCTGTTCATCCTGAATGTGTGGATGATTGTATACCTCCTGAAATAGCGGGTTCTGACTGTGAAGGAGACTGTCTAAATGAATTTTCCAATAGGGATCAAAATGAACAAATTGATACGCAAGACGAACATACAAATTCTGCTCAAGTTGCTTCAGATAGCACTGGTATCTTAACACAAATTAATAAGCTATCTGATGTAGATGGATCACATGAAGATTGTACGGAACAAATTCCAGTTAAAGAATTCGAAAATAACTCTGATAAATTGGATCATAGGTTACTGACGGTCTCTGAAGATAACACCGCAGTAACATCAGCTGAAGAATTAGATACGATGAAGTTGAAAACACAGATGTTCATTGCTGGTAAAGAGGAATTTGCAAAACAACTTGATTCAGTTTCAATAACTTTTCCTACGCCTATCGAGGAAAACTCAGCAACACCAGAAATAAAGCATTCCCGAATAATTGGAACAATTTTTCTGACAGGGAGTGGAGATAGCCTATTTTCCGATAAAGGAGGTCAAATTAATATTGTAGAAGAACCAGCGTTTTCGTCTTTCATTCCACCTCAGCGAAGAAGGGGACGATTATTAGATGAAACATCATTTGGTATACCGCAGTGTGTTGACTGTGATACTAATATGAGTAATCAGCCGCAACAAACCGAAGAATACACTTCGTTACAAGGTCAACTGGATGTTTCTTCAGAAACTAACGTGGCACATCAAAATGTACAAACGAAAAGCCGGTCAGGTAAAATGTTGGATGAAACCGGCTTCCTTGAAGATTTCTCAACGCTGCCAATAACTAGTATTCCAATACCGCAAACTGCTCAGCCATCTGATTTCTTCCAAGATCTCACAACTTCATTTCCTTCTACTGACATAGTTCACCAAAAAGTAGAATTTAAACCTAGATTCTGTACCAGTGCCAGTCAGTGCAACTTTACGTTGAACGAGAGGTGTCTGTTCACACATTCTGCACATATCTGCAACTGTGGACGTGGATTTGTAAGGCATCCTGTGACACAAATATGCGAAGGTAAGAAGTTTTAGATTCATTTACTATAGAAAAATGCGCTCTAGACAATTTTCTCTAGAAATATATATTTGCTATCTGTTAATTCTAAATGAAATGCATTGTTCTTCTCTTGTAATAGCGGTTCTTTCTGCAAAGTAAGTTATTAAAACATTCTATTTCATTTTTCATTTTTGTATTAAATAAAGATACATAATTTTTTGTGTAGGAAACTTTTATTACAATTCTGAGTTGTTTGTCCTTACGTTACATATTTATTGGAATACAGCAAAGCACAGGAGGGTTATCTGCCTAAGGGAAAGGAAGCCTTAATATAAGACTTTATATGAGAAACTAGTTCGTATTCACGCTACATATTTATTCTGTAGAAATTCTGGCCAGTCCTGTTCCTCAACGGAAAAGATCCGATTTTTATTTCAACATTTAATGATATATATCCCCATGAATAAAATTTGCAGTCTGCCAATACTAAGAAATCTTTTATCACATCGATATTGTCGAAGATCCACTAGAGGCCAAACTGTCTTCAAGAATATTGGTTGTTCAACTGGCTGTGCGGAGGTCCGTGCTTTTTTCCATGCATAGCATATCAGCCATTTTCCCTACAGAGGCCGAAGAATCTTTTCTGCCGCAAAGAATTTAGCCGGTTGGAAAGAGCTCGAATGTTTGCAGGGTGAGTAGCATGACTTCCATCTGTTGTTAATTTGCACCTCTTCCCCTTTGCATGAAGTTGCGTAAAAATGCCGTAGGCGTTCGCTGATGGCGCGACCGTAAGCTCTGACTTCGAGTCTGCGACGTCGCGGTGTGAACAGCCGTGTCTTTCCCGACTGCATGATTTTGCGACTTGGCAGAGTGAACAGCCATGCCTTTTCTGAGGAAGGGCTGGCGGAGAATAACTCGGTAACCCCAAACGACTCTTCTTGAAGTATGGGCCGACGAGTCTTAATATGTGCGCCAGTCAAAGGGTTTTGAACCGTCCAAGAGGCCCAGTAAAAGCAAAAAGCGCCAGAGCCATCCGAGCTGGGATCCTAGAGCTTCACGTCCAACGTGCGCCAACGACCCGACTTCGTTGGGCAGAGTATGAGCGAACACACTAGGACTTGAAAAATGAAATATGTCTGGGCAGGCGGAGGCCAGGAGAAACTGGAAAAGGTCCGTAGCAGTTCTGAATTTCTTAAGGTAGATAGCTCTTTCGTGCTTTGCTTTCGTAAAACTAACCAGAATGATAAAGACCCCAAACGTTAACTTCTACGTTTTTCTAAAGAAATCTTTAGAGGTAATTGGTACTTTGCACCTTTGTAAAGCCTTTAAAAATCTTGATGAAATATATATTAGAATATTTTTATTTCTTTACACTAACGTTTATATGTGCTTCAGTATTGCAGATTAATCTAGTAAGAACAAATATTTTTAGCTGTGGTGTATTGTTATTTTACATATAATATTTGGGTATAACGGTGACTTTTGTAAGAATTAAATCTTCAAGACTGAACGATATTTTATGTTGCATAGATTTTTATCTCTTAAAACTTAATGTTTCAAAATCGATAAGTTAGTATACAAAAATACTCGGGTCTTGTGCAAGAGCTCTCGTGGATTTATACTCATTTTTTAATTTTTAATTGGATGGTATTTTGCTTCTAAATACTGCGGACCAAATTTTTATCATTTGATATTTTTCAATGTAAGTGGATTTTCTGAAATTTCTCAAATTATTTTCAGGTGTTCTGTAGATCGGGATTGCTTTATTTTTCGTAATATTGTAGAAAAGCAAAACATGCCTCATTAAATTATCAGTAATATATCCTATAGCCAGTGTTACAATGACGTGTCAACAGCATGTATAATATGCGATATTGTATAGGAAGCCTTAAAAATTTCCATATGAATAACTAGACAGATGTCCATTCGCTTCAAGTGTAATTTAAAGTATACTGGAGACACTGGCATTTTGTTACGAATGTTATATTTTGGTGTATAAAGCAATTGAGAGAAAGATAAAAATTATTTGTTGGATGACATACTTTTTATTTCAGCTAAAGTATCTGTTCATGCGACGTTAAAACTACCTTTAGAACAATTCCATGAAGATTTGCACGATACGAATTCCGAGTTATATAAAAGAATGCGAAAAGATTCTATTACTTCGGTGAGTAACTCCTTTAAATTTTTTATAATTCATGTAAATTTCTCTTACGCCGACTTTACTATTACAGTTCCTAACTTAAAGTATTCTTGAAGTAAAAAAAATTGAAGCTTTTGCTGTAAAAAGAATTTTGGGAGTGCTAATATTGATACTATCCAAATACAAAGGACAGTTCATAAATTTCTATTTGGCTTATGAGACTTTATATTTAATTCCCTTGAAAACTGCTTTAATTCCAAAAACAGTTTCGTAAATTCTGTATTTATTACTGTTACTTATTTTCGTTTATCATTCGTATCTTATTTCGTACTTTTTCATTGCGCACCTACCACGCATTTTGGGATGTTTGTGCATAAAAAAGTACCGCAAGCAGGCGTATCAGTTTGCGCGCCCTCTGTAATCTATTCTTATAAATAAAAATTAATTAAATGTGCCAAAATTAGTGGCAGGCGCGTAATGAAAATTATATTTTATATTTCAAAGCACGAAATGTTAACTTCATTTTTGTATCAATTTTGTTCAATTCGTAGTTTTAACAAGTAATCCTTTTATCCTGGATTTAACGATATATTATTTTTTCTTAAGACGAACCGAAACCCATTATGTTTCGCCTAGATATTAGTTGAATGAAGTATAGTATGAAGAGACAAATCATACTAAATTAAGTTCTCCCAGCTTCTATGGCCTTTTGCTTTCAGGACAAAGTTGACAAAATGTTGGTATTTGGTGTGGGTATCCCTGAGAACCTTGCCCCTGAAATTTTTCTTTCAGTCATCTTAATACCAGCAGAGATATTTTGAGCATATCTTTAGCAAAAGCTATTAAAAGCAGTTTTATTGTGCAGGTTGCAAAGAATGCGGCACTGACTGCATTCCGTAACTTCAGTGATGGTGTACTATTGTAATTGAGGGTGTGAGTCGAATGAAAACCTTTAAACATAAACAGATTTTCCAGCTCCATCGTTCTGTAATTTTTCAGGGCAGGTACCAGAGCTTTAAAAAATGCCCAACAGGTGGGAGCAGATTGCATGCAAGCGAAACGCGGCCGGAATACCAGTTTGAAATGGCTGCCTCACTTGGGATTTGTACCAAATGAAAAACAACGTTCTGTCGCATGTTTTCTGAGTAATGAAGGTACGAAACCTATTGAAATCCATCGATTTATAAAGTCTAGTATAGTGAGGCATGTTTATGACTGCAGCAAATGTACGAGTGGAGTAGGAAGTTAGAAACGGTGCGACTTATGTGGCAGATGCTTTCCGCCCAAGTCAGACGCACTGCGTTGTGACACCAGAGTATCGCAGCAGCTGAAACGATCGTGATGAACAATCGCCCTGTGACGGTGGGTGAAATAATCGCAGATCTGAACATTATTCATGACTCAGCGCTTCACATTATTCATGACGAGCTTAAGTTTCGCAAATTGTCTGTAAGGTAGGTACCACAGTATCTCAACTCCCGAACTGAAAAAGCGACGAAGAACATTTGCGGTACTTTGAAGCAGAAGGTTGTGGCTTCCTTGCGAGAATTGTTACAGGAGACGAAAATCTGGGTCCCCTAACACCAACACGAAACCATGAGAGCAGTCAAGGAATAAAGCCATTCCTCATCACCTAAAAGCAGTTCCAGGAGCAGGAAAGGTAATATTGACTCTTGGGATGAATGAGACGTTATTTTTGAATACTAGACGCCTAGGGGAAACACAATCACCAGTGCGTCATATTCCGGTATGCTGAGAAATCATCTTCGGCTGAAATCTGATCAAAACGTTGTGGAAATCTGACTACACGTGTCATTTTCCAACACAACTCTCGACCTCATACAGCTTGTGCAACAGTTGCCACTATCACTGATCTTCAGTTTGATACTCTTCCATATCCGACAGACTCATCAGACCTCGCCCCCATGTTTTTGTTTCACTGAGGCGATTCCGTGCACTTAGCTGTGCGCTGGAGGAAGTGTGTTGAACGTCAGGGAGACTATGTCGAAAAATGATGCATTTATATTCTACTTTTGTTCAATAAATAACGTGTAAAAACTAGCGAAGTTTTCATTTGACTCACTCTCGCAGTTATTGTCATTAAAATAACTGCCGGAAAAATATTGGTATAAACTTAGCACTTCATTTGGTGAAACCTCTATCTCTTGCTTTTCTTTTGCTTTAGATGCAATTATTAATGGGCGAGAATCCAGCCCTTTACGCAACCGTTGTAGAAGTTGAAGTATCCGGATTTCAGGAAGGTAGTCTGATAGTACACTGGGCACTTGTATTAGCCTCTGAAAAGAATGAAAGTCTAGCAGAAGTTGTCCACCAAGTAGAAAAACATTTGAACGAGGCTTCTCGAAACGAAAAACTTCAAGAAATAATTCCTCTTAACATGAAGCAAGCTTCACTGCTGTCAGTATCTAGTGGTAAGCAATATTATACTTTTAAGATCACTAACAGTTTTTTAAAGTATCATTTTTATGGAAATTAAATATACTCCCATTTCGAAATATTCTTCTGCTGCAATATGAAATGCACATTTAATAAAACAAAATATGCGAAAGTATTGGCAGTGGCTATTGGTAATTAACATGCGTTATTTGCTTAATGCATAGATTATTTAGAATTGCTATTTTGCAAATAGATCAAGATGTTTTTAAATGTTATTTGTCAGTTCGATGAATCTTGTGATCATTAACATTCCTAAAGTTTATGAAAAAATATCTTTGTGTAGCCCATTAAGCAGTCGAGTGGATAAGAATGCTAAATACCCGAGTTTGACCCGAATTTAAATCCCAGCAAGATAGTTCCTTGAGAATTTCCCTCGTGTGTGAGGGTGGATATAAGCCACTTTCTCGCAGAAAATCTCTACCCTTAGGCAGATGCTTTTAGTAGGCACTGGCCCCCGATAATGGCAGGGGTATTAAGGCTCTGAATACTGGTCGTTCACTCGTGTTGGAATCCAAGCGAATGGATTGGCTTACATGGTGCGTTTTAGGAATCTCCCCTTGTGTGACGTGAATACGAGCTAGTTTTCCTTAGAAAGACCTCCATGAAGGCATCCTTCCCCTTCAAGCAGATAGTCCTTATGCGCTTTGCCATAGTCAGATGATGCGCTTTTTCGCAATGTAATAAATCCAAAAGTCTAAGTAAAATCTATATAAAGCATTTAAAATGAAAATAATAACGCTTGTTTTCCCATCATGTGCGAAAAGTATTTATTTACTTAGCCAATGCTTTTAATGCATCTGAACTTCTAAATTCTAAGCCAATGCTTTTTAATGCATTTGAGCTTCGAAACTTTTCGAACATTAACGTCGAAAAACTTTTCATGAAACTCGTTCTTCCTTTAATTATGAATTCATAAACTTTCGGAAGTGTATCAGAAGTCGACAAGCTACAGCCAAGAAACAGCGGTAGCTTTAGCTGAATTTTCTAGGAGTTGATTAGGCTAAGTATGAGGTTCGAACAAATTTTCTCCATATGCAAACAATAGCCAATCGTCTTTACAAAGCCCTCAAGTACATTCCTGACCATAGGTAGATAACCTTGGTGTTCTTTGGCATTTCAGTGGCCGATCGGTTAAGTTCGCTGAATACTGGGAGTTCGACCAGGGTTCGATCCGGACCCAGCTACATGTTTAGTTTTCGTATTTTCCCTCCTTCTATAACGTGAGTATCCCTAAGAAAGTCTTCCACAAAGACACAACTTCTCTTAGCCAGTAGCCAGATAGCATTTTGTGCTTAGCCATATTCAGATAACCCAAGCCAACCTAAACGTAAATTTCATTGTTTAGAGCCCACCAGCGGCCAAGTCGCTGAACACTGGTAGTTCGGTCCGAGGTTCGAATCCCGCGAACATGCTGGCTGCATGGGCGTTTCTGTGGTTTTCCCCATGTGTAACGTGTATACGAGCCAGTTTCCCTTAGAAAGTCCTCCACGAAGACATCCCTTCCCTTAGGCAGATAGCCCTAGTGGGTTTTGCCGTATTCTCAATACACACCATTATGTTTAGAAATTTCTTTTCTTTACGTCATCTAAATGGCAGAAAATACAAGCCCATACTACTGTGATCAAAAAGAATCGTGACTGATTCATTAAAAATATACACTCGCAAGAAATCGCTTATAAAGTTTTTCAGAAATTTACGAATTTCAGCATTTAATAACATTCCGTAATTCTCCTCATTTTGAAGTTACTGCGATTTTCGAAAATCGCTAATGTAGTTGAACAAAGAACAGCCATTGAATTTTGTTTTTTAATGGAACTTCTGGTACAATAACTCTTTAAATTACAGAAGAAAAATCCGAGAACATTTTATTAAAGTTTTTTAAATGGTATAAAAATCTTTCAAGAAAACTAATAAGTATGAGCGACAGTCTGGCAGACCATCTAACTTCAACTAAGGAGAACAGAGTCCGTCAAGTCGAAGCCCTACTTAGCAATCGTCGTTTAATGATTAGAGATATTTACTAAATTTCTTTATTATTTGGTCTTCCCAAACAATTTTGAAAATTCCTAAGTGGGTTGCTTCTCGTATAGTTCTAAAATCCATTAGTTTTTTTTTTTCAGAATATATTCAAGTGACCAACGCGAGGCTTTCTTAAAAACATTTTAAGCACTGATTTATGCTTTTGAACCAGCTCGACAGTCAAGTGAGTAGTGGTCGAAAGATAAGACTTATGACCCACTAAATAAGTGGACAATGACTAAATAATCCCTGACCCACCAAATAAGTCCACTAAATAGCCATACTAGTCCACTAAATAGCCGCCGTAAATAATGCCTGGCCAACGAAATAAGTCCTCATTGAAGTCGGCCAAAAACCAAAGGTAATGTTTTTTTTCGATTGTTCTGGTGCTGGACATCATGAAGTTTCATTTGGTTAAACTGTTAAAGATTATTATTAGTGTTTTGAGCTATTTGCAGGCACAGTTCATAGAAAGGACCTGAAAGGTGAGAACTTGTGGAGTTTGCATCACGATAAGGCATATGGCATTCTTTCTGGAGAAGATCTGGCGAACAAATAAGACTGCTCGTGCTCCGTATTCATATATTATGACCATACTACATTTGGCCTATTCCCACAGTTATAATTGGCACTTCGTACTCAGCCTTTTGAATCTACTCTTCAGTAAAAGAAATTGGCTGTGATTTCTGAAGGTGTTTTGCAGAAACGACCTAAAAACTCATTTCAAGAATCAATCAAGATGCTTCCGTAAGTGGTTTACAATCGAAGAAAATTATTTTGAACAACATGTAATACAATGCTGAAAAACAAAAGCTGCACCGAGTAAAATTGAGCCACAACTACGAAACAAGACATGCAAATATGGTCTGAGTTGTGTAAACGTTTGTAGAACTAATCACGATTGTGGAGCAATAAAACGCTTGTCTGAAGTGCGCGGCTGGCAGAATGTAAAAGGACGTGTGCTACGAGTGACGAGCATGTACAACCACGCTGACGGCTTGGATACATGAAAAAGTTAACGAGTTGCCTATTAGGCTTACTCGACGGCGTTACGAATAATACTTTGAGAGGGCTAAAAAAGGCCGGTTAGTCGAACAGGCAGATCGGCAGGCATATTCGTCGAAGCGATATGGGGGATGTAAGTTGTTGGAACTAGTGGCTCAGCGAAGTCACCGTACTGGCTCGGCATGTCCCTGGCTCACCAATGCGTAAGATGATCACGCTGTTAGAAGAGTTACCACGTCTGCACCAACAGTGCGCTATCATCGATTCAGCGCAGTTTGCCAAATCGCAAGGATTCCGGGATATCCGAGGTTACGATTCGCAGAACGCTAGGTGACGCTGAGCTCAGATCTCGACGTTCATTAAGACTCTGACCATTGACACTTCACCGTAAAGTGTCTTGTACGGTGACGCTCTCGCTAATGGTGGACAGTATACGATTGGAGAAATGTGGTTTTTCAGCCACGAACTGCGCGTTTCTGTTGATGCTGATTGACAGCCGCGTACATGCCAGAAGACGGAGAGGTGAGGGATCAAATGAATCATTTGTTGCTGAACGGCAGACAGAACACTACGGTGTGACTCTGGAGAGCGATCAGCTGGGACAGGCGTTTGCCATTTGTCCTGCTGTGAGGTAGTCTAATGGAGGCTCCTTTCTTGGGCTTCTGACTGCTATCAGATACGTTGACAATATTTTGCAGCCGATCATACTGGCTATGCCAGCAGGTCATCCACTTTCTATTTTCCTGCAGGACAACGCTCGGCCACATACAGCGCGACTTTCCTAACAATGTCTTTGGCGTGTTAATGCCCTGGACTGGCCCGTCAGGTCTGCAGACTTGTCGCCTATTGAACATGTTTGGAAGACGTTGGGCAGGTAAATGCAGCCGTGTACAAACGAGTCTCAATTCGTTTAACATTTGCTCCAGTTGGGGCCCAGTCTGTCCCAAAGATACATTGGCAACTTAACACTCCATGCACAACCGAGTATAGGCTTTTATAGCTGCCAAGTTAGGTTTTACCACTTGCTGATTTTCCCATTCTTTACATTGCTGTTAGAAAATAACTTTTTTTTTTTTCGCCACAACTTTTGATCATTTATCTACCCGAAAGCTATACTACTGCCGAGTATCCTAGTTGTGGCTGCATTCTGTCTGGGTGCATATCGTTTTGTAACTGAGTGTATATATATAAGCCAATAAACAGAAAACTTGTGTTTCGAAGTATCATTCCTGAAGCATTTGATCACGGTAAAAAAACTATTTTTAGCTCATGATTCTGAAAGCTTTGTTAGAATTTTTAGTTTCGATTCTAAAAATTTTGTTAATTATTGAAGATTATTCTAATATATGCCCCACCTACAAGATTAGTTTTTCGAACTTTTCTGGAACGAGATTTTTTATGAATTTTCCAGCGACGGACCCTTGCAAGTACCAAGAGTTAAACTATTGCAGCAAGTACGCAGATTGTATCCGAGATGACACACACGTTGGTGGTTTCTTGTGCCGTTGTAAAGAAGGATTTTTGGATAGATCAAGTCGCAACTCAAAATTCTCGGGAGAGGAGTGTGAAGGTAATGGATTTAATTCCTTAAAATGTCCTATTGTTCCTGGCTTTTCTTTATAAAGACATTTGATTTCTATAAGAATTCCTGAAGTAGTTTTACTTTCTTATGATGTACACTTGAATTTACCTAATTAACTCCAAGAAATAAAATAGCCATGCATGAAAATAATTGTTTATAATTGTTTTACAAAATGCCTCGTCAAAAGAACATTTGGTAATCATTCTGTTCTTGCTAAGAATTCTATAAATCTAGAAATTCAGTGCCTAGAAATTCTTGCCAGGAATTCAATTACCATATATATTTAAAAGAATTAACTTATTAGAGAGAACTGGTTAACCGCTTAACGACCGCGCCCGAAATATCTCGGGAGTGGAGGCCGTTGCGGTTTTCGTATGAATGAGTTAATTTGGTCGCTGAAACTTTTAGTGATATTTAAGCCCGTAATATCGCGTGGCCATCGACACTCTGGCATACACATATTTTCTTAGCTGTGGGAAAGGTCCAAGCGGTTTTTGTGATTGGTTCCTCCATGCTCTGAGGTGCAGTCGGCGATGTGGCTGCATTATTAATGAACTGTAAATTCTGTTTTGTTAGTTGATGCAGATTATTAAGCTGTTTCAGACTGATGTGCCACTATGTGTTATACCATGTTTCAGACTGTAGCATACTGTCAATGGCATTTATGGATCGTAAAACGTATTTGATTTTTACTTTCTCTTATTACCTATTACCTTGACTACAGTTTTGTATTAATTTTGGCAAGATTGTGTTTTTAGCTGCTTCATTGAAGCTAGAGTTAATTCGGGTAATTTCGTAAACCATAATATCATTTTTTCCACGAAAAAATTGTTTTTCGCGCCTTACAAAGCTCCATCTAGTGAGCTATATCTGTAGATAATAAAAATGTTATAAAAATTCAGGGATTTTTCGACATAATTTTTAATATAAATTTAGTCATTAAGCGGTTAATTGATTAGAGAACTAGTTAATTGATTATAGTAAAGTATGTGCTGTCTGTCTGCCTTAGGAAAGTTGCAGCCATGCAGAACTTTCCGAAGGGAACTAATTGGTGTTCACATTACATATACAATTTAGGACAGCTGTATTTAATTTTACGTAAATCTATCCGAATAGCTTCATTATACCATTATCTCAATATCGTTTTATGCCGTTTAAAAATGTCAACAAGAGCTTGAGACATTTGTCAAATACTAAAAATGCCACGACACACACAGTTTCTTGGCGTATAACGTTGCAAAACATTGTCCCTGATAACTTGGAAGTAATCCATTTTTATCATATGCTGATAAATGTAAATAACTAAAACTGTTTGAATGGCAAAGAAGCATTTCCCTCAGAAAATTTTAAATAACATTACAAGCCATTTAATAAGTAAGCCTATGCTCTTGTAAGCTTCTGTTTAAAACACTTAACCTTTCTGTTCCCAAACCGGTAACTGTTTTTTGGGGATATCGAACACTGAAAATAAATGCAGTTTCTTTGCTACAAAATGGTAAATTAAAGCAAAAGTTTTGTTTTTAATAGAAAGGAATGCAATATTTTTTAAAAGCTCCCTTACCATTTTTTACACAGTACTGCTCTCCAGTGGTTAAAACCATGGACCGCAGATATTTCGCCTCCCTGTGATTGAATAAGCTGGCTGTTTGGAGCATTCGTAAGCATTTGTCCAATAATTTTTCAAATGATTAAATAATTTTCTTTTAAAAATTAAATAGGTGTAAGATGTTCAAATAGATTAATTATTGATTGATTAATGTAAGGATATTTCTTCGTATTTTATTTATCAGTGGTCTTATTTCCATGTGAGCTCTTTTCTGTGAGGGCATATTTTGTGCGGACTTTTTCCTGTGAGCATTTATATCTGAGTATTATTCTGTGAGCATTATTCTTGTGGATTTTTTCTCGTGGGCATTTTTCTTAAAACCTTTAAATATACACGGTCCATCAGGAATTTAGTTAATAGATGGTAACTCTCTTAACAGATGGTATCTGCGTATTAGTTTCGAAGTTGAATTGAAAATCTTTGCAGTAGTATGGCATTTCAGCAACACATGACGGTACTTTCATTAATATAATATGTGAGGCATGATAGAGAATTAAAATTACTAGGGGAACTCTATTCGTTTATTTGTTTACGGCAAAACTCCAAGACTATAAAAGGAGGAGTCCTTCGTTGAGTTCTAACAAAGTGGCATGGGAGAAAGCCACGAAAATCCCTTGCAGCAACCCTTTTTGCATGGAATCAAACCCACGTCGAACTGCCAGTGCTCAATGACTTTACTCCTTGGTCACTAGTTGGTGGGGCAAGAACTTTAAAGGACATCATAGAGTGCAAGATACCGGTTATGATGGATGTCCTTAGTCGAGATTTCCATGGACGCACTGATCAGGCCGCTAACGGCCACGACTTTGACACTTCCGCACTCTGAGTAAAACTGTAGGTGCAAGAATATTATATTAAAGCTAATCTGCATGTACGATGTGCACGATTATATTATAATACAATTAAGTTCGGTAGTAGCGCGATATTTTCTATTAAACATTAAAATTTTTCTGCCGGCTCCTGTAGTTTTTAATAAGTTAAATTTTCGAATCCTGGTTGTTTATTCTTGAAATTTAACTCTTAACCTCTGTTCCTAATAACTGAGGGAATTTTAAATAACTCTACAACTTTTAATCGTTGAAAATCTGTACTTAAAGTGCGGATTTTCAACAATTAAAAGTCCGGTCGAAAGTTTCAGGATCAAAAGTTTAAAGTTCGCCAAACGTTTCCTGTTTCAATCTTCTGTATACTATATTGCATTGCCTCGGAACTATATTTTAGACTGCATCCAGAATTCTACGTTTTTGTCCTTTTATAGTTTTCTGTATATAGAAATTTTTTATTAAATATGCGTTGAGCTCTATATTTGAAAAATAAATAGTTATCTCATATTTATTAGAGGGCACCAATGTAACTAACTCCCATATGTACTTCATGACTTTAAAACAGTATCTTGAAATTTCTGAATCTTATTAAAAATTTAAAGCAGCTTCGAATGTTAAAATTGAATAAAATGTTGAACAGCTTCGAATGTTCTTATGGTTGAAAGTGTACTCTTTATGTCAATATTCTGCCTAACTTTAACTGTATTGATTCACAAATGTGGCTCAGTGTGACCCATACCAGTATAGTGGTTATTGCTCATAGATGCATTATCGCTGGACTCGGTTACGAATTCTGAAAAAGGCATGGATATTTGTAAGTGTATAGAGCTTGTGGGGCATCGGACACTTAAAAAACACTCGGAACTTAAAAAACCGAGTTCTCTGTAGTGTTTTCAGAATAGGAAAAAAGTGTGCGAGAGACTCGGATCGTGCCCAGGGTACTTTCCATTAAAATTGGGCGAGATAAGTCATACGGCCACCTTTACGGTGCCTAAGGGCAACGGCAGACCCAATCTTGCGCTTCTTGCCACAGTAAAATTCGTGGACGTAGTCTGATTAGTTTAGACGAGTGAGCTTATGTCTCAACAGGTAGATACCCTAAATAAAAACCCACTTGCTGCCGAGCTATAAAATCACTGAACACTTGATAGTTCCGATCTGGGTTTCAAATCCAGGCGAAAGTGCTGGTTGCGAAGGCGTTTTCGTGGTTCTCGCCATATACGAGTCTGTTTTCCTTAGAAAGTCATCCACGAAGATATCCCTTTTCTTAGGCAGATAGCCCTACTATACTTTGCCATAATAAACTAAACCAAACACTAAATAAGAAAATCTACCGCATATTAAGGTAGGTAATTTTATGTAAATGGATTTTAAGAAATAAAACTGAATTCTAACTTTAAAGTAACTGTTTTATATCCTATTCCAAACCTGTTATATTCACATTTTTTAATTTATCCATTTACCTATAAAACAGTATTACAGACCACTATTTCCATCAGTATTGTATATATTTTATACTAAAATGTTTATATCATTTTGGAATAGATATACAAGGTCCATCAGAAAAATGTATACACACTTTAACAGACAGTCCCCGGGTACTGATTTTGAGGAGGAATTGAATTAGTGTTGCAACATAAAGTATGGTGTTGGCTCAATACATGTTTGTACTGTCATGACTGATATGACGTATGATAATGAACCAAAATGCTCTCGAGGGACTTTGAAGGATTTCGTTTAGCGCAGGAAATCGGTAATGTCCTCCGTAAAAAAACCAGCATGTGCAACAATCGCGGTGGACACGTTGATCAATGCTGTACAATCGTTCGTCTTTGCGCTGTGTGTTTGGTCGCTAATGGTCATTAATTTGAACACTCTAACTGCACATGTACAATATTAGAAAGATGGCATTAAATCTAACCTATAATATGTACCGTTACATTAATCTATGATTAAGTTCAGGACTAACACACAATTTTCATTCTTTAAAGAGCATATATTTTTTGTGGACCCTGTGTATTAAGATTTCAGATACAGCTTCATAATGTGTAGACTTTAACACCTATCTTGTGAATTTTCCAAAAAGACCAAATTTTTCAATATAGTACGTCAGTGCCCATAATACGAAGTAATTTCATTCATTAATATTTAGTGATGAAATAAGAAAACATTTCATTGATTATATACAGGTATCGTACATTTTAAGAACATCAAAATGTTTGTCATTATGGCCTCTGGTGAAAATTAAATTGTATCTTTTTAATGAATATTTGATAAACGAATCTGCGTAAATTTGCAGAATTCTTTTGTTGCTTTAGTATCTCCAATATTTATTCTTCAACGTGTTATTGTAGTTAATATTTAAATAAATATTTCGCTCCTAAGACTAAGTTTGTTCAACAATTTTTGTTTAAATTGCTATCAGCTGGACCAATTATATTTTCATCTGTTTTCAAAATTCAATTATCAAACTGTTTTGTCTGATTATCATAAAACTTAACTTTAGGTTCATGTACAGCAGACTACTGTGGAGATCATGGAGAGTGTCAAATTACAGAAAAGGGAGAGAAACATTGTTTGTACGTTCATATTTCAAATAAAATTTTGTCAGTTCTGCTAGAATTTATTTCAAACCAATAATTAACATTACGCTTTTTAATTTTTAAAAGGTGCTCTGGCTGGTACTTTGGGGAAAGATGTCGAATATCAGGAGTGGGTATGTTAAGTCTCCTTGCGTATCTTTTGTTTCTCAAAGTGAATTAAATTCTAAATAATTTTTTCGATTTCTTTTCTAGTGATGATAGCTAGTTTTTCAGTGGTGAATGTCCTGATTGTCTTATTTGTGTTATGGCTGATCATTTTCTGCAGGCTAGAAAGGTTTGTACAACTTCAGTATTTAATATTTGATAAAGAATAGTTTAGTTTTTTCAGTCCCGTGATAAAATAGAAGGTAATTTTACGTTACATTTTTCTCTTTGGCTATACATATGTCTGCCTGTATGTTTAGTTGAAATACGGATCATTTGAACGATGGATGCATGAATTTGTTAAGTTTACACTACATAATTTTATTTTGGATTCCGCGCATATCAGTAATGTTTTCCCAAGAAAATTCAGTAACAAATCTTGATGTTTCTTGAAATTGTACGTCAATCGATAGTATATGTGCCTATATAACTTCTGTTAGTAGCACATCTTCTCCAAATACCTGCCCATTAGATTTTTTACGAGCTACATTGGAGGCTTTTGTGATGTACGCTTCCGTGAAGTACATTAAAAGGAACAGGCCCATATTTATTACACGTGATAAAGCTCATTCACTAATACTTTCATAGTCAAGAATCGCGATTGGCAAGTTAATGATTTTGATGCTCTTTAATAGTAGCACTGCATAATTTTTCAATACAAATTTCAAGTATCGCACAATTAAAATGCTGAAACCATTTTAATTGATAATGATAATGTATTGCAATTTGTAAAACCAATCATACGTAGGAATTTCGGTTCCGTGTACTACCTAGCATTTCTTAACTTTTCGAATCTCTCCTATTCGCTTCTCAGGTGGACTCGTGAAATATGTATCTCAGAATATTGTACAGGGTGCTTGTAATTAAAAGTGACCATATTCAGACCCCTGTAGAACCCTTTCTGCCTATCGGATTTTGATGAAACTTGGTATATACCTAATATCGACTATGGGAAAAAGATTTCTGCAATAAAAATAGTTCAAATTTTGACCATCACATGGCAATTTTCAAAAATTCCTAATGCAATTTAGTCAAACTTATAAAGAGACTTGCAATGAAAGCCAGAAAATCAATTCTGCGTGGCTTTGTCATCGTTAATCATGCCCTTACAGAAGAAAGATCGAGCATCAGCTTAGCTGCATCGCGTGAATATCGTCGTCTAAAGGATAGCGAAAAGGTCCCACATCGAAGAATAGTTTAAAGATGATTATAAAATTTTAACAATTTTTTTATTGCAGAAATCGTTCCCCATGGTCCATGAAACATATATACTAAATTTCATCAAAATTCAATAAGTAGAACAGGTTCTATAGGGGTACGAATAGGGTCACTTTAATTATAACCACCCTGTATCTTAACTGTTTTCTGGTACATACAGTTACACTAGATAATACGAAGGTTATCGGAGTATGCTGCACAATTTCGGGGTCTCATTTTGACACATTTAGCTTCGAAGTATAAAATTATAATTTCTTCCATTTCTCATATTTTCAAAATGCTTTAAAATCGTGTTTAAATTCAAAATATAAATCTCATTTACTACCAAGAAAATGTTTTTATAATTTCTATTTCGTATTATATTATCAGTCACTTGCTCCGGTCAAATTTGTAATTCAAAGTTTCAAAAATTGTCTCATTATAATGCTCATCCTAGCAATGGTTTATGAGAATATTTATTGCAAAAAGAATTTTGCTTATAAATTAGAGGCACAGAAGGATTAAAATTGAAATATTCCGCTGTATTGTCATAGTGCAAGTCAGCGTATATTAAATGTTTTCATTCATAACCCCTTTTATAGCATTTCACTTTTCAGCATTGAACGATATTTGGGTTTTACAAGCATTAAAGCTGAAAAAGTCGTTTCACATAAGCATATGGTGTTGAATGGCAGAAGAACATTTAATGTCATTTCAGAAATTGAGGGAAATTTAGATCTAGCTCCTATCTAGAATTCAGTCAAGGATTTAAAAACTGAAGTTTTAAGTGCAACTCGTTAACTCAAGAAATTCCTCTTAGAATTTATATGGCAGGTGATTTTTCTCATTAACGTCAATAGGCTATCACTGGATCTAAGAAATATTTCGAAATTAAATTCGATATAAAGTATTTACAAAATTAAATTTCTAAGATTTTAAGTGATCTCTAATAATTTTTGCAATTAAAGTTTATTTTTTCAGCTATAAAAATTGTCGATTGTTTAATCATTTCTAATGAATCATTTTTCACTATTCTTCCAAATGTTTTTCTTTTTAAGGAAAACATTCAATTTTGTCAGTCGAAGTAAATATTTTGCTATATTCTACTTAAGTAGACATGTCGATCGTTTAGTTTCTCAGATATCTGACAGATAGCACAGCTTTGATTATTTTTAGAAAAGAGCAAGAGCAGACTTTTGTGCAGTCAAAAATATAATTTAGTCTTCTAATGACGATAATCTTAAAATTTCGTCCTATTGACGTCCATCTTAATTCTCTGAGTGTTTTAATAAAGTTTTGTATTCGAAGTCCATAGCTTTATAGAGATTTGAAAATAAATGGCTTTTAAAGGCACGGCTTTTAATAACGGTTACAATTTTGACAGCATCCTAAAACATACTTCAATTCCGTTGCTAATTTTCTATCCAAGAAACGCTGGTGTAAGCTGTTTCACGATGTTTTTTGTATCCAGTTTGCCTAGTTTTAAGAGGTATTGAACACACTAAAAATGTTTTTAAATTTAGGAGTTGTCATTGTACGTCACATTGGTTTCTTGCTTCAGTATTTACAGCTATTATAATGTTTTCTTCAAAAACTGTCTATAAAAATATTGATTGAAAAACGTTCTAGATTTTGTTTTGTGATAACATATGGTAAAAAGATTTTTTCAAACTTGGATTTAAATTTTTTGTTTAATGTTGAAAGGTTTTCGGGCACCTTTTTGTGTAACGAGCAAACTAAAAAAACTCAGTTTTTTGCGGATATATCTGGAAAACTTTTAAATGAAGTTGAGAATTTTAATGCAATTTTTCAATTTTTCGCAAAATCGCTGGAGTTTTTGGAACACTTGACGTAACAAATGTTGGAAGGGTGACTATTAGTTACTGAAAAACTATTTTTCACTTAAATAATTTATTTGCTAATGTGTCATTAACCTTAAAGATAAAAATAAAATATTAAAAATGTTTTATGAAATAAGCTTTCGTGTAAAATTCTAAAAAAAAGTACGTAAGAGCAAGAAAAATAATTTATCATATATGTTAATAGGAACAAAATATTAAGTTTATTACAATTCATCCAGTTTTATATCATGATTAATACAACCTTCATCTAAAAGAAATAGTTACATTTGATTCCCTCAAGATGTATTAACTTTTTAATCTATATTCATTGAGTGAAAAAATCTTAACAAGCTGTAGATATGTAAATGTGTATGCATATGCTGCCTGTAAATTATGTGAAAATGAACTCTATCCATATATAAATCAAATCTTTTTTAATTGCAACTTTATTTGAAGTACATTCAGTCACGTGTATAATCTCTCAATTAATATTTCGAAAAATTATTTGCTAGCAAGGAAAGCTATTAGAACTTCCAACAATGATCCCCATGAAACTTTCTGGGGTGATTAAGCATGCTGTGAAAAAATACACTAAGTGTGGCATTTCGTCATTGCTTGCAAATCTCAGAAAAAGTGGTACAAAGTGACTCACGTACTTCCAACATTTACAGCCATAGATTTGCAGAGGTAAAGTGTTTGAGTTAACAACACATCGCTGTGTAAAATGTAACTCGTCCAATAAGGGTTATTGGAGGTGCTAAGTAACAAAAACCAGCGGTAATTTATGAAAGTTACAACTGATTCTTGTAACCTTAACACATTCAAACATTGTCGTGTGATAAGCTTTCTTATGAGGTGACATGTTTGTCGCCCGGAACAAATTATTCCTTAAATACGGAGTGTTTTAAAGGAATGCATATCTTGTATAATGATCCAAATGTTTTTCAAAGTTTAAGTCTCATCGTAGCATAAATGCTGATTACGTAGGTAACGTAAAAGTACACAGTAGGTGGCATGGTTAAAGTGTACGTAATTAAGCGCCCTGTATGGGAATAGTCACCCTGTGCAATTAACGAAAGTCCTCGGTAGCAAGTGCCCGAAAAGGCAAGACAGTATGAATAAAATGCAGCAAATTGTCACGGCTTCTGACAAAGATTCAATAGTACAACGAAGCGACTAGAATTGGTTAACAGAGATATAATAAATCCAGAAGGCGTGTAATATGTACTTCGTTGTTGATGTAATGCCTTATACCTAATAAATGCATTACTTTTGCCAATCCATGGCAGCAAGTTGATGTTGGATTTCAAAACAATGTAGTTTGTATTTTTTATTTACTTTAATATTATACTTCTAATTTTACAATACTTATTACTTTTACTTTTAGGCCACTAATAATTGTTAGTTTGGTTTCATGAGAGTGGCAGCAGGGCAATTCATAGAATTAGGAAAATATGTTTCTGTAGTTAGTTAGGCTTATTGAAGGTGAATTGTATGTTATATACCTGAGTGATGTTTTATTAAATAAATACTTTAGAATATAGTAGTCTCTTTAGAGTCCGTGATACGCTGGTAGCGTAATAGTTTGCCGCGTAAGCGAACAGTCGACGGCCTATTTTGCATATCCTGTTCTGGAAGCTACGGGTGACTGTGAAATTCTACACACATGTTTTACACCCATGCTTGATAACCCTCAAAATTTTAAGGCGATGGCCATCAGAAATTCTTTCCTTGGTAAACTATTTGATCAAAATTTTCTTCTGTATATATTTCTTACCTTTGCTTCACGTAGTCACAGTAATTCGGTTTTCATGGCAGGCGAAGAAGCAGCAAGTACAATGGTGATAGGCGAGACCGATTCCGCAGAAGTCAGGAATTCGGTAATAACTTCGAAGTGTCCTCCAGAGTAGCTGACGCTATTGCATTAGCTGAAAGTGGCCCGGCAACAGTTTCCAGGTTCGTGGCCATTAGCACGCCTGTGCTGCAGGAGCAACGTCCACCAGCCATAGAAGTTACTGACGCAACATTAACAGGTAATGAAAGTTAATTAAAAAGTTGGTGTTGATTTTAAAAAATGGAAAGCTGTTATTGATTTATAATTTTCTCATCTTTCCACGCATGCTAGTGTGTTTCAGTATATTTGCAAATAATTTAAACTAATTAGTCACTGATCAAATTTTGCATATGATAGTTTTTAAACAATGTTCGGACAAAACGACCATTCCATTTGAATAATGCAAGGCAGTTTAAGGATTAAATGTTTTGAAGAATACTTTTCAAAAATTTTATCTTTTCTTAAGTACAGCCGCTTGAATATCATTTGCATCTGTAAATTTCGACGAATTCTGTAAGTCTCTGAAGTTAAAATTTGACAATGTTCTTCCAATATTTATTATTTTGGTGTCTCCCTGGCTAGCATTTATTTAGTATGTAAATGCCCCTTTACAATCAGCCAGTTGATTTTACAAAGCAATCATTATAATTATTTAAAGTTATTTTAAGTTCCTGTTTATCAGAAGTTTTGTCAGTTCACACGCCATACTTTCTAATACCCCTAAGCTATAATATCCGAGTAGTTTCTTCAGCTGTCAATTTGTCATCTAGCATAAAATAATTGCCTAAGTAGTAACATCTATGGACAGGGATGAGAATTCTTGCAAGCATAACCCTTTGTTTGTTTTTTATAGTTCACTTGCACATATATGGAAGTAAATATTTCTTGTTAATCGATTTCATCGAACTGAAACTACCTCAATGTTAGTTTTCAGGGATTAATCTGAAAAGTCATTCCATATTTTCTTTCGGATCATCCATATGCTTTTATCTTTTTTCATGAACTTTCTGTTTGATTTAGAAGTGTATACGTTAAACTTTTTAATTTGTGATGATTTACGTTGCAGAATATAATCTTCAGTCGTACGAAGCTGAATTGCTATCAAAAACGTTGATGGTAGAAGCTACTTTGAACGGTTTTCAGTTATGAATGAGCATATAAAAGATACGAGCTATTTCTCATAAAGGATTGCGTAATACTAGTAACTCTAATTTTGTACCTCTTGTTCAGCAATTATTCATTAATCTTGATACTTATATTTACTGATTGAACTTGTATGTATTTGACTATGAGGTACTGTAATTTTTGCGAAATCTCTTCTTACCATTGTCAGTATTTAAACTTATGTAAAGTGTGTTCAATAAAAATTTCCTGAAATATATTCCAATGATATTTTTAACAATATAAACGTTTTATCATTTTGTTTCTGTTGAAATAGTGCAAAAATGACATTTTTTTAAGTATAAATAAGACTAATTTAAAGAATAAGATCTTGGTTTGTAATTTCTTATAATAACTAATAGTTTCTTTAACATGTTAAGCGTCATGTCAGTCGCTGGTGACTGGCGATATACTTTTCGTTTAGGCCGCATCCATCACTGCTGACTGACTACATACAATTTGAAAAATTATATTCTATTAATTTCTGCAGGGCTCTGGCCACCAGCATGTTGGTGAAATCCGATATCGTAGGCTAAACGTAAAGGAATATGAAAAGACTTGGCGCTTAATGTGTTAAACATTCATGTGATGAATTATTGAAAGATGTGTAATCTGAATTCATGATTGTTGAAGTTAATAATTATATTTTTAGGATCCTGCGTAAGCATTGATGATTATGATTCCACGTTCGACAGGACTCCTTACGAAAACGTATATTATGAAGAAAATTCAAAAACAACTCCAGTCACCGTTTAATTTAGAATATGTTAAATTTTATTGAAATTTGTTTTATAGCATTTATTTTAGTTGTCTTGTTTTATCGTTAAATTTAGTTGAAAATTTTACTTTTTATTTTTACATTTAATATTTCCTCGAGTTTTAATATTCTTAATTGAACTTTGTTTTATCAGCTGAGTTGATTTGAATGAAATAAAGGTGTTAAATGTTTTGAATAGTTCAGTCAATTCTTGTCGAATTCTTACATTACACCTATCTTCACATTTGAGTGCAGTGTGTAAGGAACCTCATTTCAAAAATTAACTTTGAAAAAATTCAATTTTTCAAAGCAAATTTTTAAAGAATTCAATTCACCCGTTAACTTTAAGAACATTTAGAAATGCGTAAAAGTACTTTTTAAGAAAAGATAAAAAGGCACTTTCCATCTACCTTGAGTGTAAATAAAATTGCCTTCAAACAGGTTATTTAAAATCAATATTTATTAAATATAATTTCGAAATTATTTTGACTTCTATATAGCGCTGTCTATATAATACTGTTTCTGAAAAACTATCAAAGTATGTATAGCAGTTGTCTCAAAGAATAACTTTGTCACGTTGATGAAAAATCCTTCAGGCTTTCAAAGACTGCATTCATCATGGAACTTCCATGGCTGACCAAGCATGTGAGCAGGACAAATGCAAAGAGTAGAATTTCTCAATTACCCAGACCTTCCAGAACAGTCCATTAAGTAACGTGCACAGCCACATTATTTGAAACCATGGATTAACAAAATATAAGATGCGAGGCATTCTAGTGAAGTGAAACCAGTGAGTTCTATATTTCGATAAACATATCAAATTTAAAGAAATTTATCCAATTACAGTAAAAACAAAGATTAAATATTTATCCAGTGTTATAGACCAAAGGTTATAATCCAAGCATAATGTTAAATTTACATCAAGTGCAGTTACATCCAGTTCATTTTTGTAGCAAAGTAACACATTCATAGTCTTAATTTCTTTATTGTAGTAATGACAGCCATTAAGGACACTTGAACATGCAATGATCAGGATGCCCTCTTTCCCGGCATATGGTAGTTGTCGTTAGGAGTGATTCCTTTTGTACGCATACACAAAAGCCTATTTACAACTATCAAAACTCCTTCATTTGTATTTGTAAGGATACTTAAAAAAGTAATTAAATCAAATAACCTTCTGAGACATGAATTTATTTCTAATAAAGAAAATAAACAACAGTTAGGTGATTTTAAGCAAACATTACGAATATCGATACTTTGCATAGCACAAGTCTAAATAAAGGGATAAAACATACTTCGTTTAACCGTTGGTCAAATTAAAGTTAATACTGTGTAGGTCCACCTTTCGCATTTATCATTTGTCATATAATCTGTCTGGCATCGGCAGAACCATGTTGTCTTATCCAGTGTAATTTCAGACCATGGTCGTTTAGTTGCTGCCTTCACATGTCTTTCCTTGTAATAGTATACTGGTGGATACGCCAATCAAATTTATCCCCCATATGAGTTTAAATTTGGCGATTGGGGTGGTGAATGCAAGTTGACTAGGTACTTTTTACAGGAGTCATTCTCTGACAATTTTTGTGTGGAGAGATGGAGTGTGTTTTGGTTCGCTGTCTTGAGGAAAGACCCAGCTGCTTTCTAGTCCCAATTTTTGAGCAGGTGATTGCAGATTAGATTTAAAATAGTTTCAAATACGAATCTATCCATAATGCAGTCTATGAAAACTAATTTATCTATTCCAACCGCTACCATTGATTCCCAAACCATTACACTCCCTTCACCTTGTTTAATAGTTGGTATGGTATTTTCCGGTTTCATTTTTTCATATTTTCCCCACCAAATCGTTCCACGACCATCTCTTCCGAAAATATTGAACTTACTTTCATTAGTAAAGAGAACAGTTTTACAAAAATCTGTCTTTGTTTAGGCGGTTATTTGCAAATTCTAATAATTTTTGTCGATTTTGAGTGAGATCTAAGATATGTCATTAAATCCCATTAATAAGAACCCTAGTCAGTTTCTGGATTAATTTTTTTCTGTTACCTTCGCAAGGGGTTAAATTAATTTCGGAGCATTTACTTTTAAATCTTTTTTTTTACTTTTCTCGCAAGAGTTCTTGCATCACGATGACTAACATTCCTTAGATGACCACTTCGAGATTTGTTTAGCACATATTCCCTTAACTTGTAATTTCTTAGTCTGTACAGTTGCAAGACTTTTCCGAATAGTTTTAGTCATTTCACGATAAAATTTCTTTTCGGGCCTTAATTTTACAATAAGATTTCTCGTATCTAAAGAAATTTCTTTCCTTTGATTTATTTTTCAAACTAAATCGTCTACGAGAGTAAAGATTCTGACTTTCACGCGTGGTTGAGATGTCCTTATATAAATCCAAAAGGGAAGGAAATAGCCGCGTACGTAAATTATGTTAAAAACCAATCAACTGTGTTCTGACTTGTCTGACGTGCTAGTTTCAACAAATCTGCAAATGACTTTCGTATTTACCGTATTTAAGCTACTATTTTTGGGGAAATACTTTTTACGAGTGCCACGATAAATAAAATATATTTAACGGTTTAAAATCAAGTAGTGTTTGATAAGCCTCTATTTTAATGAGTGTGTGTAGACTTTTGCGACTGCATGTACGTAGGGAACGGGCCGTGCTCAGCCAACTTGCTGATTTAGGAAGAAATTAATATTCTTGTCATATTTAATTTCTGGACAAAAACTCGCGGAATCTTCTGCCTTGAGGAACATGATTCCAAGTAGTCTTTCGAGGTTCGAATCCGCGAACGGGCTGGCTGCAGGGGCGTTTTCGTGGTTTTCACCATGCGTAACGTGTATACGAGCCAGTTTTTCTTAGAAAGTCCCTCCACGAAGGCATCCTTCCCTTTAGGCAGATAGCCCTCATGTGCTTTGCCATAATTGACTAATACAATCCAAGTAGTTTTCCATTGTGTATTCTATGTATTTTTTATTCGATTGGAAAGATATGACCTTGGCCATTTTATGCCTAGGGTCATGGTACTGATATTCTTGGCCTCTTTTGCGAGTTGATATGCGTATTCATTACCAGAGACGCCTGCGTAAGCTTTCATCCAAGAAACTAATATAAAGTTGAGAGCTATTGCAGAAGAGTGCTACATGTTGAAAAGTGCATATAGCGCTGAAAGACTGTCGCAATTGATGGTTAGTTTGGAAAATTCGTGTTGCAGCATAAATAATAGCGTATTTAATTGCCGATAGTTCAGCCTGGAATACACTTCCCAATTCAAAGGAAACTTTCCAAGTGATCCGTTCTTTCGTTGGCATGAAAATCATATAGGCGAAGCCTATTTTTTCATTGATCTTTGAGCCGTCGATAAAAGCTAACTGTAAGATGCAATGACTGCTGTTCTTGTAGCGAATCTTAAGTTCAGCCTGTGCATATGATCAATCAGTTAGTGTATTTGAGAAGAGCACTTAATTTGTAATTTTCGATAGCAAACGCTGTATTATGCGTGTTAGTTTCCCGCTTCAGTTGTTGTACTGTGGTTCTGTTTGCTTCTTTTTCTACCTGGATGCATAATGAGGAGATTCCTGATAAAACGCACAAAAGCATGACTAGAAGTGATACCGTAGGCCTTTGTAATTTGGAGTAGAAAGGCCTTTTGTGTGTCTTGTAACAGCTTATTCTTCCTTTCGTTCATTGGAAGAACTCGGGTGCTGCGGCAAAGCCAGCGAATTATAAAAAATAACATTACCCTTTTTGTGAATGGCATCACTTACGTTTTTGTATTCATAAATGTCTTTTTGCTTGTTCTATACTTAATGTTTATGTTAGGGAATAAATAAGTATAAAATACTATCTCCTAATATCGGGTAGCTGCTCCGTAGTATGCAATATGCGCTATCACCGTTTGATACAAAATTTTGCGGATGTGCGGATTCAATCTCAATTTGAGGCTTTCATGTGTTTGAAGTTTTCAGCTATTTGCGCAATTTTTTCTCTTAATCAGGCAGATAAATAATTTCTCTTAATTTAATGCTGGAGAGAGAAGTTTTTATGAATGATGACTGTCAGGAATTTAATTTTGGGAACAATTCTGATGTTTTGTTTGGATTCCAAAAGTAGGATTTCTTTTTATCGTTTGGCCCGGTTTATGAATGACCATGGCTCTCGACTTGTCTTCCGAGATCTTGGGATTTCGTTTTGCACATAGATTTTGGAACACTTGGAGGGAGATGTTGGTATTTTACTGGAGAAGATCTCTTGCTCTTCGGCTGGTAACTAGAGCTGCGTCACCTGCAAAAGCGTAGATTTGCGTATGCGGAGGGAAATGATTAGTTGTTAATTTAATTGAATACCATGTTCCAGAGAGGAAGAACCTTGTGGGCGTCGTCTGAACTGTGATTTTTTTATTATCACATTTTTGTAGATAATTACACTCTTTTGCCAAATAATTATTCATTTGGCGGAATGCATTTTTTAAACATTCCATACTTCTCTGGGACTGTAGAACCTTGGTCACCATAGGGATTCGAATGCGATTTGTAAGTCGTCACGTAGTATTACCAAATGTTTAGATTTGTTCTGAGAGTAGGAAAATGAAATAGTAATTTAAATATTTTTATCAAAAATTCAATAAAATAATTCAGTGCCTAAAAAGCTATTAATTTCAAGTGAGTATTTTTTCTGAACATAACAATGCTTTTATTACCAAAAGCATATAAATTGACACTAATGTATTCGAAAATAATTGTTTAAGCATCCTTAATTAATAATTCTTGCCAACAATTAATGATTTTAATTAATAATTCTTTCCTTTTTAATAATTGTCATTTTTTTCTTGATATTTCCGAGAAACTGCTTTTTCATGATATATTCAAATAAAAACATCTCAGTATTCAAAATATAATCGATATATCTTTGAGCAATAAATCAAAACATACAATCTCAAATTTTCCTTACTTATTTATTAAATGTTAGATTAAGTACAAATGTAATAATGGCTAAAATTCCTTCTTTCTTTCTGGCAAATTTCTCGCATTCAGGATTTTAGTTCAAGATCCTAGCAGTTTGTTTGTCTGACAAATTGGGAAACTGCGAGTCCAATCTTTTGTTACATTAGGTTAAAGCTGGCAGGAGAACCTGCGATACTGAATTATTAAATTTATATTCTAAC